AAGTCTTAAACAAGATGCGTTCAATGTAACCTGTAAATATATCTTTATTAATTACAATGACGATGTACTTTCCTTTGTCCACTCTGTATGCTTAAAAGCTTGAATACAAGTATTAGGTACAACTGGCCAGCAATTTTGAAGAAAGGAACTGGGGATACTACCTGATATTTAATGATGTAGTGTTATCCTGTTCGAGTTAGTAAGAAATGTGCTTTTATATATTATCTTTAGCAGATATTTTGACGTTATACTTAGCGTATGTTCTATTACTATTTTGATAACGTTGTTAGAATGAAAGTATACTCGTAAATTGCTTGTGTACTAAAATCTTCGGGTCTTCTTCAGATGATGTTTTAATAATGTAAGGTGGAAAGACGCGTTTGGAAATGCACATTGGAATGCTCTTTGCAAACGTTCAATGCATGTCATAAACTTTACGGCCGTTTAGTTTGAATAAAAAACATTGAATGTTTCTTTCTCTAACACTTTTAACATTTAAATGTTAAGACAGGTTACTAAATATACTTTGATTGCTTCAAAATTGTGTATACCTATATAAACATATTGAATACGTGAGTTAAGTCCTAGATCTATATCAATATATGATATTCTTAATTACTCAGCTTTCTTCAATTTGGTCTGAAAATGCAATGCTATGGTAACAAGTCTGCTGGTTTTAATTTTATATCTGTCATTGTGTCATGAAGAGTACGTAAGAATGAACATATGCCTTCAGGTAACCATTTTTATCGTAACAGAGAAAACTGTATGCATTACATGCACACACATTTAATGAATATTGGATTTGCTTTTAAATTGGTTTGAAGTTTTTTCCTAAAATATAATTTTGATCTTACTTATAGTTTTAACAATGTCATTTTCACTTATGGTACAACGCACAGTAAAAAGAATAGTTAAGTCAGCAAAACTACGAGAGGTTATACATGTAGCATATGGCATTCGTATTGTTTTGTCACTGCATTGAATGAAATTATTTTATGTGGAAAATGATCTTACTTATTTAAAACGCCAAAATAATTGGCTAAAAGATGTGCAGTATTACATCACATTTTCTTTCTTACTTACTTTCTTTCTTTCTTTCTTTCTTTCTTTCTTTCTTTCTTTCTTTCTTTCTTTCTTTCTTTCTTTGATGATCTAAAAGTAAAACACAGAAAGATGATCTTTTAAATCCAGCAAACTTTCCTTATCAAGTTCATTAAATTCCAGAAATGTGTTTTTTTTGTTTGTTTCTCCTTAAAGCTTTTGTTTCCAAATTGTCTTTTATTGGCCATAAAATGGATTCGACTCGCGCTTTTTGGAGACGAGCGCAACTTTAGTTTTTGAATTTTGATCTGAAGACAAAATAGTACTTAGTACGGTGTTGTATTACTTTCTTATTTTTACGCTCCATGTCGTATTTTTGACATGATGAATATATAAACTGAAAGTCAACTACTATAATTAAATCAATATATCACACAAGTTTGTCTTGTCAAGATTTGTTTATTCAATTCCGAGGCTGAAAGATATACTCATATGTTCATCATTCGATAAGTACTTTTATTGCAGTTATTTATTAAAATCTAGTAAATAATTACTGAATATTATATACGTTGATCATGAAGAATGCACTTACTTTGTTTAGAAATCTATATTCAATATATTTGGTCAAGTTAATGTTATCCGTTCTTAAAAAAGAAGATGAAAAGAAGAAAAAGAAACAAAACCCGTCAGTCTCATATAGTCTGAATGTTACTTTTGCAATTAGATAAAACAAAAAAACTGTATTGATTTTATCGGTTATTTTGAATATAAAATTTTAGCATAATATAACATTAAGTTTATATCAATGTGAGCAATAAGGCAAGTGATCATGATCTCAAGACAGGTATTGCATACACACAATTATATTAGTGTTCCAACATTGATGTTAGGGTATGAAAGTTTCAATGTTGTAAATACATTTTTTTCTGACTTTTGATTATTATTAAACATGTTATTGTGCAGTTAAATATAGTATTGATGTAATCCATTTGTGCATTGATGTAATGTATATTATTAATATAAAATAAAATGTTTGGTGTACATGCTTTTAGTTTTATTTTCTCTCACATGAGATTCGTAATGTGGCAGAAATCCCCGACCATCGATCCAAATAAATAAACAAATAAATAAATAAATAAATACTGAACTTATAGATAATATAGATTTCGTGCAACGTTGTACACACCGCCGAAGTTGCATATTTACCATTAATGAAGAAATACATATTAACAATAATACAAATGTTTACCTTAAAATGTTTTATTTCTTGATTATTATTTAGTTTGATGTACTACACACGCTATGATCGAACGCGACCTATTTCACTTCATGGCAAAACCCTACAGTTCACAAAGATTAATGTAAATTGGTTATATAACGCTACCATTTATCGTCTATTATTAATAAAAGAAGTACTCTTTCCCCCTTAAGCTGTTCATTCTATGGATAGAATCATGAATCATGTAGAGTTTTTAACATAAGTAGAATTTAATATAGTTTATATGGAAAACATGTAGACAATACAATGTTACTCGTTATCAAATAGGACACTATGGTTTCGTATAGTGATAAAAGTTGACTGCGTTTAACGTTTAATATAACAATAGTTGCTAATGTAAAAGTAGGTATACACCTATCGTTGAGAAAATTTATACAATCATATATGAAAATATAAAGTTTTTCACAATATTTTTCAATATTCATTAATATTTGCCGAGGATGCCGTTTCATAATAATGCATTGTAAAACTTATCATTACTGTACAGTACAAAAAAGACAATTATTTTAACTAACATGTTTAAAACTGTGTCCTATGAATCGTTCTCAAATATCATTTAAATACATGGATATTTTTCAATTGGATTTAACTCATTACAGGACTGGAGCAGTTCCTCTAGATTCTTGCAGAAGTCATGATCACAAAATAGACAAATATCATTTCTTTGTCCGCCGATTCATACATTTCTAATTAAATCGGTGTGAAAAGATGAATAAGACCATGTTAAGTTCATTCCATTGGGTGAAAAGGCAATATTTAAGGATTAAAACATTAAAGTGCCTTGTCCGTTATAAAACGAAATACGGTATTTAGCATGGTGCTCCAATCTTTTTTTATTCTCATTCTTAACAAATTGTAAAAAAGTTCAACTTCAAATCTGTAAAATTCCCTAATATACCAACGTTTCGGCTGAACAGCGTATACGGTATAATGATATATGTATTGAATGGTGTACATGTTGATTAAACACGATATCCGCGTATCGTATTGTACAATGTGCAAAATGTTTGAACAATCACAAAGCTGACAAAACTGCTAAAGCATTTACCTGCTGACCTGTGTGACCAGTGAAGAGCGAGACCAGTCGACCAAATTGTCTTATCTTGTCATGGTCCGGCTGTTCGTTTTTTAGCTTGTAATTATCTTGAAATTGTCCCTAAAATGACAGATGGTTTTGTTCACATTGAAAGATGATAATGCTTTTTTAAAATATTAAGTATCGTAAGAAAAAAGCAGAAAGTGTAACGTTCGCTTAACTTTGACCAGTGCATTTTCAAAAGATGGATCTATTTACATGTACTTTAAGAATATATTTTGCTCTTATAAGACATAGTTATCAATGAATGCAAACTTATAATAAATGCGGAAAAAATGAAATGTGATTTAAAAACTTTATTAATATATAATTCTTTCTGATATTAATATCTTATTAAACTTAAAACGTATTAAAATATCAATTTAAAATTGTATAAATTTGTGACTGTTTGACGTTATAAGCATTGTTGCTAGCCTCCACTGTAAATAAATATCTGTATTGTACGTTGTGTTTGTACCAATTCTAAACCATCGATGTTTTATATTATTTCAGGTTAGAAATATAGTGATAACAATGGATAACGGAACAAGTATCCCAGGATGTGCTCCAGAAGGTCCGAAAGAAGAGGAATCAAAAATTGTTATTCACATCGCCATGGGAATGGTTACACTATTGTCAGTGTGTGGTGTGCTAGGAAATGCCCTAGCTATTTTTGTATTTTCCCGCCAGAAAAATAAACTCAGCTCAACAGTTTTCATTCTCACTTTAGCAGTGACGGACTTTATTTCATCACTTGTGACCATGCCCTACACGGTTGTGATTGAACTTATGTATTATAATATTGGATATGACTTTCCATGTAAGCTGTACCAATTCATGAAAACAACAACAATTCCGTTTTCAGCGTTCGTGATGGTCGCAATAGCACTGGATAGGTACTTATGCATTGTGTATCCATTCAAACATATAATGACTGTTCGAAGAGCAAAACTTATAGTGTGTGTTTTAGTGATGTTAGCCTTTGTAATCGGAATTCTAGCATCTCTGATGATAGGGACATACAGTTACGAAGATGTTAAGAAGAACAACTGTTCAACTGGGGCAGATGGAAATGTCCTCATTTATTCGGATGCGGATGGAACAAGCATGCACAGTGGGAATACAAGTTTCGACTTGGAAGAGAAAAAAATATCAAATAAACTGGTAAACACAGGCATATGCATGCAAAATTATCTCATTTTTGACTTATCATTTATAGGCGTTTACCAGAGGATTTATTCGGCACTGTTCGGTGTTTGTGCAATACTGGTGATCATACTATATTGTCTAACGTACAGGTCCGTACTCGTACACAGAAACAAAAGGCTAAATGTTAGTAATAAGTGTTGTGGAATGATAACAAGTTCCATGGCAGATGACTCCCATGAACATACCGAGTTCACAACATTACATAAAGACGACCAATCTCCTATCATTAACGGCCAGGAACGGGAAAGCTGTATGCAGCTCCAAGACAAATTCAGAGAAAGATGTAGTACCAACGAATCGCCGGCGAAGTCTGGTAACCGGCAAACCAAGACAGATCAGGAAGGACAATTAGGACCGGGTGGTGTTTCCCGCGCAAAATTGAAGAAGTTGCGCGTTGCAAACATCAAAACAGCCTTAATGTTATCGATTGTGGCATTTATATATATCGTGGCCTTCACACCTGCGTGGATGATGGCATTGAAAGTGCTGAAAATGAATGTGATTGTGTATTACCTTTATTTTACATATAATGTAGCGAACCCGGTGATCTACGCATTTCTCAATAATAATTTCCGCACACATCTTCAGGCAATGTTCCGATGCAGAAAATAGAAAAGTAAAAAACAAAGTGTACATAAACTTCAATAGTTTATTGTTATAGTAGTAAATTCGGCTGTTGTCAACACGACAAATAAAATTGTGTATGATTTATATCTCTGAAACAGTATCAATGAAAACAAAGAAAAAACTTAACTCGAGGATGTTATTTATAGCTTGTTTATAGGATTTATTAAAATATTATTTTTAGTAAGGGACTTCTACATGCTATTATAATCATTATGATATAAATATGTTAAGGATACTATTATCAGTTGAAACAGTTATTGACTTCAAATTGATTGACTGTGACCAGATCATGTCAAGATAACGAAATTCATTGTATTTTAATTGCTATTAGTTTGATTTACTTTATTGTGGGTTCTTAAAAGCTGACTTACTATTGTTCAAAATTAAAGTGAATGGTTCTACAATGGGCACATTATCAAAACGTTTTTAAATGTAAATGAAATAATAGAAAAATGTTAAATATTTCTTTGAAAAGAAATGTTGAAAATGTTATAAGTGATCTATATATTTATGAAAAATGATAATATGTACAATTAATTATCTCATAAATATTTATCTTTATCATATCGAACCGTGTATCTCACACCTACAATATCCAATAATTATTTCATGGTTTGTTGTCGCTTATAATACTGTATGTTATCATCAGATTTTTATTGTGTTACCGACTTTACAATTATGGAAACATTTGCTTTAATGTTATGTCTTTAAATAAAGAAAGGATACAGTGTGCGACTACTGTTTGCTCTGAAAAGCTTATTTCAAGTGTAAACCTTATTATTAATGTAAAGTAACTTAACTTAACTAACTAACTTAACTAAATCGAACATGTTATTTTAATAACAAATCTTGCTGTAAATTTGGCATTTTAATATTAAGTTTTTAAAATATCATATAAAAGACATATCAATATTGAATAAATAACATAGTTACACAAATACTTTAATCAACCGATACAAATCACTGTATCATTTAAAAACCATTACTTGTAATGAAAAAAATTAAAATTCGTAGTCATGTAGTGCAAAATAAATTACTATTACTGAAATATTCATCTTACTATTGATAACCCCCAGTAATTGTCTTTTCAGATTGTCCGAAATCGTCTTTGTATTAGATACGACATATTATATAATGATTATTGTTTGAATAAATGTATTTTTGTGCTGTATGACATTGTATAACAAAACTGAAACTAAATTTGTCGACATTATTTGTTGAGAATCATTTTACATCATACATATTATGTGCTTTAGTATATGACATTTATTCTGTTCTCTTCTAATGTCGTAATATATATAATGTACGTTGTTAGCGATAACGCTTTTCAATTATCTATTCTTGGCGTTGTTATTAGAATTACACACGTATATTTGATTTCTTATCATTCATTAAACATGTCCTCTTATCTGGTGGATCGTTTTACAAGCATGCATTTTATGTAATATTAATATCATTACAAAAACATGCCCAGGTCATGTCCAGTTCTATTCATTCATCGTTTGTTTTTCTAAACTGAACTTCCTTGCCGTCTGTAAAGATGTTATTTGCAACACTTAAAGTAAACTGATAATATCCGCCTGCTTGACATAGTTAAATGGTGACATAATATTACGGTAAAACGCATCGTGTTTAAATATAGATATATATGAATGCTCGTGTATCAAACAGGTTTAAAAGGACTACCATTTCTTTTACTGTATTTAAAGTTTCAAACTATCATATTTGTAAAGCCTGATGCTTCATGAAGACCAAGGATTACTTATAGTTATTTGGGTGACACAACTTGTTTGTTTAACAACCTGTAGTTTATATATTTAATGAGAAAGAGTACACGTGCCAGGACATTTGTATGCCGAAGGGTTAACTCCATAGTTAGTAACTTAGAATGACTGTTATCATTGTTTTGGATTTAGTTATGAATATTAGTTTATATCCGATACATCCAAAATATTTTATTTGAATGTAGAAGTAGGCAAACGATATGACACATATTTGAATATGTATACCATGTAAATATTAAAAATTATGATGAAATTTCAACTGTTGTTATTTATTTCAAAATTCATGTCAACACATATATTATCCGTGCATGTATGAACGACAAAATGCAAAAAAAAAAGAAAAGATAAATAAATAAATAAAAATGATACGTAATACATAAAAGCTTATTTCTATTTTCAGACACAAACACACTATTTCGCGAACGTTTTGTTGTTGTCTTAAATTTACAAGAACCACACTATCAAATACGCAAAGGGAAATAACTATGATACCTCAAAGTATATCTCCTTACATGTGAAACGTAGTGGTTTGTTCCTGTATGTCGGATTATGTTCCCCATGTGATTGACAATACATAAAATAATGTCGGTTACTACTTTGTAAGTAACTGATAGTAAATTAACATATGCTTTTATTCGATATTTCTTTTGAATTAAATTTGTCATAAATTATTACTGTCATTCGAAATTGAAAACCAACTAACTACAATACCTATTGAGAACTTATTCTATCGGAATTTCTAACTTGGATCAAACAGGAATTGAAAAACCTGGAGTGTTTATTCATAGATTAAGTTGCAAACATATGTATTAGAATAGCACACATACTATATAAAAATTACTTCTCTGAAAACTTATCAATGCATTTTAATATTACTTTGTTCTTTTTTAAATTTAACATTTAAAAAACATTCACGATGTCGTGTTAGTACGCAAAAGAGACACCTTCTCTACAAGGCCATTCGTAATCCCAATGGTTGCACAATATGAAAACTTGGATAAAGGACAATAACATAATGCTATGGCAATGATACCGTTTTGATGTGTCTTTTTCTATGATTGAACCCGCCAGGAGATTGTTTCATGTTAACAATCTACCTAGCTTGCTTAAGGTCCGCCGATGGTTATACTCAAATTGCCATAAGTGCCTGAAATAATAGACGGAGACGCACTTTAGCGTTTTCTCTACCAGTACAGTAGGAAAGTTGCCATATCATACATTGTTGATGCGACTTGACCCTTCACACACACAAGAAATAATAATAATAATTATATTGATAAGTATAGTAATGATATAAATATATATCTTAGATAAGTGATTACACGCAGACGTGGTGATTTTGCATTAAAATCATGATGAAAGCATTAATTTTATAAAAAATAAACCTATTCTTTGTGAATTTGTAAAATATCTTTCTGCTACAATATGTAAATATTTTCCAAGTAAGAACCATGCTAGCCTAAGAAGAAATTTCTGTGCGCATGCAAAGCGTGATCAAAACAAAACATGTAGGACGTTATCCTCGGCGGTGCACCGGTGAGTCTTTTTATTCTTCTTATGAATAAATATTATGAAATCAAATGCAAAAATGCCAAGACCATTAAAATATACTAAGGAAAATGTTAGTCACTAAGGTAAGACTACTGTAAAAAACTACTCGTCAAATTTATAACTGACCTCTATGTCCCCCCACCTTTAGTAATATTTATTTTCTTCTCATAAATTGCAATGTATATTTGTTGTAATCATTTGCTTTTAATTTTTTTTTTATTATTGTATGTTAACAACTATTATTCCTTAAGCGATTTAGACAAATTACAGACACTTTTTTAAAAGTTTGCTGTTGCGTTTTTCCTTTTTGATAAAATAAGTACGTATTGCTGATTCCAAGATTTGATAGCAATTAATGCCATGAAAACATACTGACTGTAACCAATAAATATGAACTGTTTCGTGGTTATATTTTGTCAAATCAAACACTGAGGAATAAGGAATAAGGGAATATGTAAAAAATCGTAAGTGACTCTTTCTTTGCTTGTAACTTAATATATCGTTCTTCAAGGAAACATATGTCTGTTTTAATGTGTTACTAGTAATATACAAGAACCATATGTGCGAAAATGAGACACATCTTCCTGAGCTTAGGATTAAAATTGGACTTTATTATCCGGAAATATCAGGGTAATTTCGTGAAAAAAGTGTACTAGTTACGTAAATTCCAGACATTTAATTATTTGTCTGAAAATGATGTTACTTAGACTTGTAGATATAACATATATAATGTAATGTAGAAGATATCTTTAACATTTCCGCCATTTCGCAGTTTGTCAAAATAATCTTAAAGTGTTCTTTTTTTTCGAATTTGATTTAATATAGAGCTATAAGACTAAGGAAGTAGTTGGAATATTGCAATTTCGTATTTCTTTAACACAAATTCTAATTTCAAAATATTATGTTCTGGATATATGGAATTGAACACTTAATATGCATTTTATGCATATAACGTATACATTTAAAATAAGAAACTGAATTGGACAAAATTAATAAACAAATTATCTATGCATTATGCTGTTTTTCTCGCTGTCAATTTGAATTAGTAATATATTTAAGGAGATTCACCGTGATAATGGTGATTGACCATTAACTGATAGTAAACTAGTAGAAAATGTTAAAGATACAATCTAAAAGCTACCTAAATTCTAAAATGACTGCCTGACTCTTAAGAAAAATACACGCTACCGATACATGCCAAAAGAAATGTCCGCAGATCACGTGAATACATGTAATATCATTTTTAGCATATTAAAATATAACATTGAATAAATTATGAAAAAATATAATGTTATTTTGAATTTTACTTGTGCACTTACCGTTTGCGTTTGGATGGGCATAATGTCGCTTTGGTCATGCCGACTACAAATTACTCCCATTTGATGTTGTGACTCACGTGGTGAACTAATTTAATATCCTCAATTAAACAACCAATATATTTTGAGCTAAATAAATGTTCACTATGTCTAGCAGCAAATCCAACAATTCAACAGTGTAAACAGTCTTTCTTTGCTATAAGTGGATACGAAAGGTAGCCAGCTATATATGAGTGTTACTTTTGTTTGTTTGTTTTTGGGTTTAACGTCACACCGACACTGTATAGGTCATTTGGCGACGTTCCAGCTTTACTGGTGGTGCATGACCTCAGGTGCCCTTCCGTGCATTATTTCAGGCACGAACGGGCACCTGAGTAGAACCACCGACGTTCCGTAAGATAGCTGGATAGCTTCCTCACATGAAAGAATCCAAAACCCTGTCGGGATTCGAACCCACAGCGGTGAGGGGCAAGTGGTATGAAGTCAACGACCTTAACCACTCGGCCACGGACGCCCCTATGAGTGTTACATGGTTACATACTAACCTAATACAGGATTGCCATTCTGTGAAAACCTTATACAAAGTAATTAATACTGACCCTACCCTATAAGTATAAATGTAACTTTATTTAGTGATGTTGTGAAAAAGTTGAATTTCAAGTCAAACTGACCACGGAAAAGCCGTTAGACTACTTTCCAAATTTACTGGTGGTGTAAGACCTCAGGTGACCGATCGTGCGTTATTTCAGGCACGAAGAACAACCGGCCTTCCTTAGGCTTGCTGGATATTTTGCTGATAAAAGACGTGACACACATTCATTACTGTAGGGGCAAGGATTCATTACTGAAAGGGGCAAGTGATTTGAAATGGGGCACACTTTCCACATGGACACCGAAGCCCTTTGTCGTGATAGAATAAATACGTTACTTGAAAAAATCATATTCATTTGTGTTATATTTACGTTAATATCTAATTTTATTGCGTTTTAAATGATATCAATACGAGCGCATGTGGTGAAGAGATATTTCAATATGTTACCCCAAAGACAAGGCATATATACTAACAATAAATCTTTATCAGAAACCCTAATTATTTCTGTGTGTACAATTAGCGTTTCCGATTTTCGAGTGCAGAAAGTAAATAACCCCATATTATAACGCATTTAGAAATGTTACGGTATTGCCTTTGATTTAATGCATTTCTTGTTGATATTTTGTCTATTATAGATAAATGGCTTAGCGATTTGCACCATGCATCATTTAAGTAGTGTCATAAACCTTACAAATCTATTTTTCTGACATGTTTGTGAATTCTTACTTATTTTGCAATGACGAAGATGCCAAATTATTTCGCGATTACAAAAACTGATAATTCAGAATCGTATGATATGCTATGGTATTGGATTTAAGGATTCCCCGGGGATCCGGTCAATTACATGATTACAGCTTTAGATTGTCTCCTAATTGTTATGAGAATGTATTAGTCTTCGTCGTAACTAGACATCAAATAATAAATGTCCATACAGTTGATATAAAGGAGAGAGAGAAAAATGAAATTACAAAGTTACACAGCAAATATTTAAATAACTTTTCAACAACCGATTATATACATATAAGTTCGATTCCCATCTGTGAAAAATGTTATGAAACGTTGATTTAATAAGTAATAAGGAATAATATCATATCATGCTAAAACTGATACGACCGTCAGTAGTGGCTTTAGAATAAAAAAAAATGAGTCTGATTCTGAACAATTCAAGTATACGGGACGACACCTGTATTTATTTACAATTTATTTCTGGCTTGTAACCAGACGTAACTTGGTTCTTGTTTAAATACACGTGAACGGCCGTTGGCGTTGGACATACATTATGGTTTGTTATCCCGGAAGGTTTACGGTATTTTATTTAGGAAAATATTGATATGTAATGATTTCTGATTTTGTCTAGATAAACGGGCATTGACATATTATTTCATACAGTCTGAATCCGGTTCCCTCTTTATTTTCTTCCTGCAGGAATACACATTTTACATTTTATATTTTTATAGTGTTTACTGCTTTCTGTCGCCTAAGATATTGTCCTAGCTAGAGAAGTTTTAAAACAGCCATAGAAATAATCTTTATGTATTACAATATAGGGATTGGAAAACTTGATTTATATCTACATTAAAGTAATACGATTGTTCTTCGAAATCTAATGAAATCTTTATTGATCATCGAACATAGCATAATTCAGGACAATATTGTTTGAAGATATCATCGTAAGCACAACCAATAATTTATACAGCAAACATTAGATACGTTTTATTTCAGAAGCATCCAAAAATGTGTCCGCACAGCGGTGCTCATCGAGCATAAGCAGAGAATGGTACCAAACGAAACGAGGTTTTTGCCCCTATCAAAAAAAATCAAAACA